TCTGAAACCACTATAAATTTAGACAAACAGCCGAGAATGACTTTAACAGCAAGTCTGAGCATTCAAATATGGAGGTCTTCTTCTACATGAGAGAAGATAGAGGATGATGAGTCTTGGAAATTAACATTACTGTTGGGTGCTCCCCCAGAGTGCAATAAGCAGAGATCCAAGAAAGCCACACCTGTGCTACATTTGATAATACGTTGTCTGGCACTTGGTAACTAACTGCTCAATGAATGTAAGCCCCTTTCCTTTTTGCATTTTACAAAATGTTTCCACATACCTCATTTTGTTTCCTCTATATATTAAAAGGAAAATCCCAAGGAGTGAACTGTTACCATTCTCATTGTAGTGGTACATAAGAATCTTTACTCATTGAACTGAGAATGACTAGATGATTCTGCAGTTTGGTCTCTCTAACCTCAATGTTCTGGGTCAGTACTCTCCCTGTAGAAATTGATCATGTGTTTTTCTGGCCATTGAGCTGTGATAAGAAAGATCTTCCTGCTTGGAGTCCGTACTGAGTGTGGATCCCACATAAGTAAAGATCCATGACACTTTTGTGTAATGACATTGAACTGAGTTGAGGACTTTACTGTTAATCCCTTTATCACCACGGTTGAGTGGGTGACATTTTGTTTTATAAAGATATACATACTAGGCTTAACTTGGCAAAATTTCAAAGAAAGTCTCATGAAAAGTCTCAGATATGAGGTGGCATTTCTAGAACTGACAGCATTTGTGTAAGTGAAAAAGAGCTTTGAAGATATGAAGAAAACAAAAGCATTATCCAACCATGTCACACAAAGGAGATGGGTCTGCCAACAGTATGAAGGGGAACTGGGAAGAGATAAGGTTAACCATATCTCTAGAGTTCAGATGATAGGGAATGTTGACCAGGAAGATGATAAGTTTTGACTATAACATATTTAAGAAACATTTGGTTTGGGAAGAAACTATTCCCACGTAAAACCAACATCACCTTGCCTATGACATGTTTTTTGTGCGTTTACTTCAGGTTCCTTCATTCTGTGAAAAGGAAGGGCAGGAAAGCATGATGACTAAGTACCTCAGGAAAACCACAGACCTCATTTTCTCTAAAGGAAAGCAGGAAGAGTGACCCCCAAAACAGTACAGGGGGACTGTTTTTCCCTCAACTAGTGTCTGACAATCCCAGAACCAGGAAAATTTCCTTACTATCTTAAATTCAGACCCTTAACAATCAGAACCCTATATATCATGAGATAGTTATTAAATAAGGCCTCCTAATCTCCTTTATGTGATCACCTGTAAAAGCCAGAATGGCATTCTGGGTAAGCCAGAATACCTGCAAAACAAATTTAAATAGACCTGTATTAGATCCAGTTTATAATATCATACATAATATCTATACTCTATTTGTTCATTCAGTAAATATTTATGAATTCTCAACTATATACCAGACACTGAGAATACAGTATTTACAAGACAGATATGATCCCTGACCTCATGGAACTCTCAGTCCCCTGAGGAAAACAGGCATTAAATAAATAATTGCATTCATTTTTTACCTTTGTAATTTTGTGAAAAATGAACAAATATCTTTTGAAGTTTTATGCTAGGTGTAGGAGTGAAAGTTCAATCTACCTGGTTGTGAATGTATTAATTATATTAGTAGAACTTTTCCAGTTGTCACCCTTAATATCCAATAATGCTGTCTCCCTTGCCCTTTGAAATGGGGATCAAATCTCCATATCAAACCATTTGCACTAATTATAAAATACTATCACTTACACACTGGGGGCTAATCAAAGGAGCCTGTGAATTCTTCCACTAAACGAAATTTCTCTACCATATTGAATCTCAGCTGACGTGAAACAGACCTATTCATTTCTGTTTCAGGAAGCAGAAAGCTGCATTTTCTTTGATCTGAGAGTTTATAAGACCCATGAGATCTGAAAATTGTGTTTTAGAATATGGCATGGTGAAGAACTGAACATAAAGACCCTAATCCAATAGCTCTATGTCTAAGACTTGTCCTTATGTGTTAACAAAAGATTTAGATTTAAAAAAATGAATTTCATTATATATATATGGCTTAAGTCTCTTTAAGGCAATGTAACTAGAGGCAAAGGTAAGCTGATCACGGTGCTCTCAGAAAACATCAGAGGGACTATTTCTGAGTCATCAGACAAATACAATAAGAACTTATACCTCTCAAGTCCATCCCCCTAAAAATAGATCAGGACAATCTCAAAGCACATGTTCTTCCACTGAAGTGTATGTCGAGCTTTTAGATTTCTGGTCCCAATTTTGGAGATAATGGTCATTCTTTGCATGTCATCATTTCAAGAAATCCAAATGCCAGGACTGGTAATGGTCCTACTAAGACTATAACAATTTGAGATCTATTAGTTTTATGTAATAATTTTAATTATGAATAACCAAAAAATTCACTCTGGGCTCCTCCAACGAGAAGAAAAGCAAAATATGAAACTCAAATAACATTTTCTAAAAGATTCCATGGTCTCCCAAATTTGGAAATGTCTATGTAAGTAAAATTTATTTTAAAACAAGTGTTCCATGGAATGCTTTTTTTTTTTTAAGATTGGCGGAATCGAGAAAAAAGAGATATATGCATAGTATGCTGGTAAACTGGCTTTCTGAAAACAAAAACAAAGACAAAACTCTGATTTGAAGTTTTGTTGCCTTCATTAGTATAAATACTCCCACCATGGCCAATTCTAAGCTCCTAGCCTGAAATCACCAAAGAGGGAAGAGCTGTGCACACTTAGCTCTCAAGAGCCTGAGTAAGCCAGATCCAGCACCCACTGGCTGTTCCCTGAGGGGAAAAATAAGTATCAGCTTATTTTCTGTCAAACAGTCCATAGACTACATCTTCTCTGATGCAGTTCCTAGAAAATCCAGTTTGGGGAATTACACTTAATGTTGGTTTTAATACTCTATAAAACCAAAGATTCCTTTTATAAAGCTTTTCAATGCTGTACGCTTTGATGTGATTTAGGTTTAAACATGGCAACCAATTTTCCTTAATGAGAAGTATAGATAAAGTTGTGAATGTTTGTTAATAAGACAATGACATTTAAAAGATTTGTGTTACTTGGCAGCAATGTTTCCATCCTGTTGGATGAGGTACATTTATAGTGCTCTTCATGGCTGTCCACCAGATGGCGGACCTTTCTCAGCAACCTTACATAATAAGGCACAACTGCATTTCTGCAAGGCTGAACAATAATTTTCGACGACGCTAAAGGAAATAAAAAGCACATTTGATTAAGCACATTTGATTAAACAACAAATGCAGGAGCTCATTTGCAACTTGGATTATATTCTTATTTCCCCTCTCCAGCCCACACCTCTCCTTGGGGATCCAGAGTGTATATTATCCAACTGCTTTTTCCTGATATTTTCATTCATGGAGACATCTGAGTTTGAACATGGCTAAAACTGGACTTTTGATCTTTCCATCTCCTCCAGTTCCACTTCTCTTTCCACTTTCTCTTACAGCTGCTCATCCTAGAAACCTGGAAATCATCCTTAATAATTTTATTTTTCTTATCTTCCATATCTAATCCAGCATCAAATTCTACTGATTTCTTGTCTATCATCTTTCCTGAGGATGACTGCCCTAACCTCCTAAGTCATCTTCCTTCTTCTATTCTCCACACAACAGAAACAGCATTGTTTTAAATATGTAAGTCAGAGCGTGCTATTCTCCCTTTTAAGTCTTTCAATGGCTTCCATCAACTTAAAGAAAAAAATGTTTCACTATTGACTTTTTCCTTTAAAGTAACTTACTTTTTACTTACTGTATTAAAGTCTCAGAATGAACTAGTAAATGTGAGCATACGAAAGACAAAGCAATAAACTACGATATCCCACTAGACACAGCTCCTTGGTTCTGTGGTGTAGTACAGATGCTCTCAACAGAAAATAAGTTGTTACTTCAGTGTCCTTAGGGTCACAGCATACATGCCACTTGCCACAGGAAAATTATCTGCTTGTCTACCTCAGGAAGGTTAAAGACAAATTTTAGGATCTTATTTTGAAGGATACAAACATCTCCTGAGAGAAACTGTGATGGGAGCCTTGGTATAGGTTAGATCTGAACACAATAATTTTAGGTGCTTCTGACTAGAAAATGTTGAGATAAATCTGCCTCAATCCTTTGGGAGGATTCTTCATTGTTTCAGCTATCTGTAGCTGTGTAACAAACCACCTGGACTCAGTAGCATAGAACAATTGTCCACTTTTTATTAGTTTCTCTCATAGTTCTGGGAGGTGAGTGGGCTCGGCTAAATCCTGTCTCTTGGAATTGCAGTCAGACTGGCTGGGGCTGGAGACATTTTGAGGCTTCCTCATCCACACTTGTACAGGAAGATGCGGGCTGTTGGCTGGAACATGTATGCATGGCATTTCTATGTGACCTGGGCTTCCTCAAAATAAACGATTGATGTGGGAACACAAAGGTCTAGCCATCATGGCCCAACCTGTGACAGCTCTGAAAAGCCGTTCTCACTCCAGACCTCCCTGTGACATCAGTCATGGCTGTCACTGGGACTGCATCACAATTCAACTTCTCCCTCTGTCTACTCGCCCACTCTGGCTTCTGTCCCTTCCCTTCTCTTCCCCTCCACAGGAAGGAACTGGCATCACAAGGCACTTCTTAAAGAAACATCATGTGCACTCACTCAGTCTTAGAGTCAGTTCCTGGGGAACTCAGCTTGCAACAACGCAGGACTGTAAATTCAGTAGGGAAGATGAGCTAGTGAAAGCTAAATGAGCTGGAACCATTTGAGGCCAGTTAGTGTTGGTGTCAGAACATCCATTTGGGTGCATTAGGAGCAGCATTCTCTGTTTTGTGTGTATGTGTGTTTGAGGGTATAGGGAGGGGTGCGGAAGGGGAATTCACTTGGGGATTAATTTTGAAGTTGCTTTATACAAGTACACTATGACTTAGATTGTATATTTATTTGTAGGCTTTACCTGGGCAGCTGATGGACATGTGAGGATGAGACGAAAAGCCCCTTCATGCATGTACACATCCCCCCACCTGACCCTCTTGGAATAGCCATCCCAGGTTGACTGAAAGAGTTGAGACATTCTCCAGAAAGTCTTGTAAAGAATTGAGGCACTTAGCCTTGTTGGTGTTTTGTGGCCAAAGATGAGCAAGAAAATAACCACCGTGCAGAACCAGAGCCTGCAGTGGCAGGCTGATGGAGGGCACAGGAATTTGTGCATTCACTGCTTAATCTAAGAACATCCTGTAGGAAATTGACTTGATCATGTTAAGAAGCTTATTGGAGACTTTTGAAAATCAACCAAAACTCAGAGCTTCAAAACCCACCAACTCCCAAATATTAGCATGGCTAACTCCCTTCATTTTCTTTAGATTTTTGTCAAGGATCACTTTTTCAAAGAGGCTTCCTTGACCATTCACTCTAATTAAACTAGCAGCTCTATCACTCTTTCCCTGCATCCTGCTTTTATTTTCCTTTATATTGCTTATCACCACCTAACAAAATTTTATGTATTTACTTGTTTATTGACTATCTTTCTCACTAGAATATAATCTCTGGAAGGGGAAGGAATTTGTCTATTTTGTTGATCACTGTATACCAAGCAGTAGACAATAACAAGAACTTAATAGATATTTGTCAATTGACTGAATAGGCATTTTCTTGAGTAATCAAAATTTCTCCAACTCTTTATCTTCTGGTAGAAATTCCAAACTCCCCTTAGAGATGGGAAGCACAGGCAACAGCAACTTTTTACTGAATATTTCCTAAGAGGCTTTTATGTCATATTTGTGAAGTTAAGAAAATAGATTACTATGATAAAATAGGTAGAAGGAAATAGATCACTCTGGTAAAAAAAAAATCAAACATTCATACTCAAACTTGAGTAAATTGAAAAATGCCCCTTCTCTCCCAGTTTTCTCCCTTGGTTCTCCTCGTAAAACAAGATAAGGCCATTGCTTCTCAGTGCTTATTCGCTTGAAAACATAATTTTAACTTTTTAGGGGAGATTTCATTTGACTCAATTACATATTAGCATATAAGCTTGCTTCTTTCCAAATCAATCAGTTGAAAACAGAGAACACTAATTTATTTGAGTGGGGCTGCCAGTGCTGCCCTGAAAACACCAACCATTACAAATAGGCACTGGTAATAAGCCTGAAATTTTATTGCTATTGATACAAAGTACATTATATTTCCAGTGTAATAGGGTAAGTTTACCTATGAAACATAAAATTAATCACCCAGAATAGAATAATTCTTCAAGAACTTGTCCCTTCTACGCTGTTGGTGGGAATATAGATTGGTACAGCCACTGTGGAGAACAGTATGGAGGTTCCTTAAAAAACTAAGGATAGAGTTACTATATGATCCAGCACAATCCCACTCCTGGGCGTATATCCAGGAAACTAA